CACAGAGGGTATACACACACACACAGAGGGTATACACACACACACAGAGTGCACACACACACAGAGGGTATACACACACACACAGAGGGTATACACACACACACAGAGGGTACACACACACACACAGAGGGTATACACACACACACAGAGGGTATACACACACACACAGAGGGTATACACACACACAAGAGGGTGTACACACACACACAGAGGGTATACACACACACAGGGTGTACACACACACACAGAGGGTATACACACACACACACAGAGGGTGCACACACACACAGAGGGTATACACACAGACACACAGTTATCCTTATAGAAATACATTTAAAAACAATTACGATTAAATCCTCTCCCCATGAGATCTACCGCATTGACCCCGATTACAAGACGACCCCTCGTTTTCACATTATATTGGGGTCGATACGGTAAATAAGCTTTCATTTTGTAGAGGGTGGGGGTGTTTGGGACTCACCCTCCTGAGCAGGTCCTTCTTGGAGACGGAGTTTAGGACCTCGGGGATCTGCATGTTGGCGTCAACACTGAGGCGGTGCTTTGGGGTGCGAGGCGTCTGGGGGCGGGTGGGGGCGATGTAGGGTTTGTGACGGGGGGTAGCCGGCTTCAGGTGGGGGTCCTCAGGCTTCGGGCTGAGAGGAAACACAGAGGGGGGTCAATAAGGAACATCAACACAGTCTGTTACACACCTGAACTTTGGAAAGAACATCCAGAACATCTGTTTGCAACTCACTCATTATTTATCTATACATCACATGACATCTGTTTTATTGTGTTGCATAAATAATAATAAAGTTCTCTTATTGAATCCTATATCTGTGACATACTGAAGTTATAAATAAAGTTTTGAATAAAGTGTTGACTCACTGCTTGTTCTCCTCCCAGCCGCTCCTCCAGCGGTGGGGGGGGGCCGGGCCATCCTTGCCCTCCTTGGCCCCGTCGTGGCCTCGGGGGGAGTGGGGGGGGTGCGGGGGGTCCTCCACCGGCCTCTTGGACCTCCTGCTCTCCGATTGGCTCTTCTTCTTGCCGTGTTCTGGTTCTCGTCGGGGGGGTTTCCCTGGTTTGTGCGAGGGGGGGGGCGGAGACAGGGAGCTGCTCCGCGTCCGACGGCGTTCCTTCCTCTTCGGGGGCGAGACGGGGGGCGAGCGGGAGCGTTTCCTGGCGTGGGTGCGAGCGTTGCCCCCCGCTTTGAACTCCATCTTCTCCTCGTCGTGTTTCGATCCGTTCAGAAGCTTCCCTTTGTTGCCGCCCCCTCTCAGAGGCTCCTCCTTCTTCTTCTTAGGCTCCTCCTCTTTGACGGCCACACCTCCCCTCTTCTTCAAACGGGGGTCCTTTTTGGTCTCGTGTTCCGCCGGTTTCGGTTTCATCGGGATGCTTTTTGTGATGGGAGAGGAGGAAGTGGTGGTGGGGGGTTTTGGCGCCTCTTTTCGGGGGGTCCGGGGCTTCTCGGGTCGTGG